CCTCTATCACCTGACGACTATGGCCCTTATGACTTCAATCGTCTGTCGTACACCTGTGTTCGCTATGATCAACATCGCTCATTGATAATGATCCCCTCAACCTCCGTCTCTCGCCAACTATGATCCCTCTTACCACCATAGCCCATCAACTATGATTGATCAAATCTTTGTCGCCCTCCAATTATGGTCCCTCCGACTACCGTCGCCTATAAACTACGATCCCTCTGACCACCATCGCTCATCGACTACGGTCCCTCTGACTACCATCGCCCATAAAATACAATTGATCCCTTTGACCTCCATCGCTTTATAACTATAGTCCTTTTAAATTAAAAAAAAAAATAGTCCTTTTAACTTTATTCACCTGCCAACTATAGTCCCTCATAATTTATTCACCCGCTAACTACATTCTCTCTGAACATTGTCGCCTGCTGATTATGGCCCCTATGGCCTATGTCACCTAACAACGACCCTTATGACCTTCGTTGTCTGGCTATGATCCTACCAACCAAACAAATAAGGCAACACTCTCTTGAGAACAACTCTCTTGATATTTGATTCATCTACCATCAACACTGTAAAGTGCTTGATATGATGTATATTTGATACATTGAGCCAACACCTTCCCCGAAGAAAGGGCATCATTTGTAATCAACAACAAACACTAGTAGATTCATTTCAGTTGGGAAAGGTTGAATGATTTTGTTCATTTTCAGAGTTTTTCACATAAAATTATAGTGTCTCTTATGACCCTTGTACCCTTATCTCTTTATATGTATGTTTGTTGAATCTTCGTTCAAAGATAAGATGTTAAGCTCTTCATCTCTCTACCACTGTGAATGCTTTAGGATGCAATAATATTAAAAGTAATAATAACTAATTATTATTTTATTCACATGCTTGCATTAATAGTATAATTGTATCAAATTAGTTAAAATACTAAATTATCTATTTTAGTACAATTCATACAAATAGAAAGAATTATAATTTTAACATGAAAAAATACAAATAAACCAGTCAAAATGATCAGAATAATCAATACTACATTATACTAAGAGCTATGCGAATGAAGTTCACTAAATAATGATATAATAATAAAATTTTTGAGGAATTAATGGTATCAATTTGAATATTTGAAAATAGGAGGATAGAAGTCACTTGTATCAAATTTTTTTACTTTTTATAATTATTGCTTTTTGTACGATTTGCATTTAAATATAGATTTTGATATTTGAAATGATTGCATTGTTAATACAAGCATTGTTAATGAATACAAACATGTGAATGAATAATAATTGGTTGTTATTACTTTTAATATATTGTGTGTTTAAACAGGAAGCTAGAAAGACTGATTATTTGCTAAGGTTGTCTGAAGATTGATTTATATTTGTACAGGAAGGTGGGTCGATGAGCTTTTCTTTAAATATTATGGTTTATGATGATATCCTATACTAAATCATATGACTTAAAAAATTAGGGGTTATAAAAAGTTAATAAAGGAGTGGCAACTCCGTTTACTAAAACCACCTTATATTGTTAGTAATTCATTATTACTCAAAAAAATCATACAAGTCAGGATTCCTTACTTATTTAGTATGACTACTTGGGCATGTATATAAAATATTAATTTACTTTATTGATTCACTGTTATTGATTTAGTGCTATTGATTTATTGTTACTGTTATTGATTCATTATTACCTTCGGTTTATCATTATTGATCACGTGATTATCATTATAGAGCATGTGATTAAGAAACTGATTTGACATTGATACAAAATAATTTAATATCATGTGTATACTTATATATGATTCGTGAATAATACTTTATGTATTGTTATAAATTTATGACAATTTTCATATATATTTTTTACATTGTTGATTTATATGATTTCTTTACAATTTGGATAGCACAACTACAATATATGGTTTGGTTTAGGAATGTAAATATGACATCCTCTTTAATACTTTGTAAGCCTTCTACAAAACATTCTCATAGAGTTCATCACTATGAAGCCAAGCTCACTCTTTAGGAACTTTAATGTTACAACATATGTTTTATTGTTTATGCATTAATTCATTATCATATTGACTGTTATTGTTATATACTAAATAATTATATGCATATTATTTCTTTTTTGTACATTGAGTTCAATAGTAGGGCTTTAGTGATCTGCTCAGTTTTTTATGCTCAATATATGTAGTTTAATGATTTTATGCTAAAAAAATAAGATTGAGAGTGTGAGACTAACCAGATACAAGATTCTTTAAGTTTTACTATCATTTTCTTATGACTCTTAATGTTTGTATATGATTTTTTGAGTAACTAATACATATGTATATAAAAATTTTGATAAATAGATTCGTTCTGCTTGTGTTTAATGTTTTTTGAAGAAATTAGTTAGTTCTGACTATTATTATTAGAAGATAAAAGGCAATTATTTTTTATTTAGATTCTGGGACGTGACATCAATGATGTGGTAGCTCACAAAAGAAGACATTTCATTGTAACAATAGGTCACTAGAGAAGGCGTCAAACACAAACTTAGCAATATGGTAGTTCAACATAGAAGTCATTGCATATGCAGCTCATTGCAGAAGGTGTTACGCGCAAAGTTGCGATGTGGTAACTCACTAGAGAGGGCATACCATGTAGTGGCAACTCGCTGGAGAGGGCGCCAAAGGTAGAGTGGAGTGGTGGCTCATCGAAGAAGGCACTATAATGAAAGCTATTGAAGAAGTTATCATCAACAACAATTTTTTTAAATGGTATTAAGCTCAAGCTCAATTCATTAAAGTAACTATTAAGCTCGAGCTCATTGAAGAATATGGAATCAGAACATGAGCTCACTAGAGAAGCATCAATGATATAATTGTTCACTGGAGAAGGCATTGATGATGTGGGAGCTTGTTGAAGAAGGCATTGCAACGATAACTCATTAGAGAAGGTGTCAAAGGTAGAGTTAGCAACATGGTACGTAGCTTGACGTAGAAGCCATTGCATTGGCAACAATATGTAAAAGGCATAAAAGGTGGAGTTGGTAGCTCGTCAAAGAAGGCATACCTTGCAGTGGCAACTCACTGCAGTAGGCGCCAAAAGCCGAGTTATGGTGTGGTGGCTCGTCGAATAAGTCATTATAATGGTAGCTCACCGGAGAAGGCATCAACAACAACATTTTTTTTTGTAATGATATCAATGGCTTTATGAATGCATCGGATGCATGGTGGGTAGGAATGTAATGATAAGGCCACTGCTACCATAAAAAAAAAGATTTCTTATTGTTGACACCTTCTCCAACGAGTTGCCATATATATAATTGAGCACCTACTCTCACACAAGAAACTTATTTCCCTAACTTTTTTTTTTGGTAACATTATAAGCTTTGCTTTAATATAGAAAGAGAATATATAAATTTACTCATAAATCAACGAGTCGAGTCAAATCTAGCTTGAACTCAAGCTCATATATCATGTGAGTTGTAATACATATGAGCTCAAGCTCGTGCTTGTTACTTGACAAGTTGGACTCGTGAGCTCGTTAATGAGCCAATTTTAAGCCGGCTTAGCTCACTATGCCCCTATTGTCACTACTACCACAAAATTTTCAACTTACAAAAAAAGATTAAAAAAAATATTAAAAAATTATAAAACCATAAAAAATGCATAATATAAACAAATATTAGAAAACACAACACAAAATAAAGTTTTGTATTAATGATAAAGATAAAATTACAAACAAAAACAAAAAATTTCAAAAACCAAAAAGGCTCTCCAAAGTAATTTAAAATTAAACAAATAGGAAGAACTCCTTGAGCAAAACTTTGTTAGAACTGAAAGAATCCTAAATCATTTGTCAAAACTTATAAGAACCCCAAACTCCTAATACAAATTACGGCAGACATTAAGCGCCAATCACTGATAAAGTGGGCGATTGGCCTGACCCCAAGCAAAGAACTGTCAGAATATTCTTATGTATTTTAATTTTACCTCAATTTGAGTTTTAAAATTCTTTGAATTGCAGAGAAATTAGTGCTATATATGTTATTATAAATTAGATAAATATTAAAATAATTTTAAATATTTTAAATTAAAATTTTATTTGAAACATTTTTCTTAATATTTTATTTTTTTAATCATAATCGTAATTTCTAAATAACCATTAATTTATAAATTTTTTTAAGATTTTGATTTGCAATGAGGAAAATTTTTACTGTCTTAAATAAGGTTAGTGCTCATATTACTATTGAGTAGATTTGGAGGGGATCTAGTTATGTAGAGAAATATTTTTTTGGGGGACAATCTAGAGAAATAATAATAATAATAATAATAATAATAATAATAATAATAATAATAATATTTTTTTTTCCGCGCTGCCTCGCGTGTCACGAGTGCCAAACCCGCGTGCCGCCGCTACTGCGCTGCCGCGCCCGCGCCGTCGCCGCTGCCGAACGGCCCAAACCCGCGTGCCGCACTCGCTTTCGAACCCTCGTGCATCGCCCACTGCCGGGTCGCGGGTCGGGTTGGGTCAACCGGACAATCCGGCCGAGTCGGGTCCGAGTTGAAATGTCCGACCCGTTTTTGCAAACGGGTCGGGTTCGGATTGAACTGTTTAGATATGGGTCAACTCGGGTTCGACCCGAATTGACACCTCTAAGTATAACAAGTGGCTTTCTAGAAAATAAGTGTGATTATTATTATCTTATTTTGTTGGGGGGCGGGGGGCAAAATTTTTTATAAACTTCTGTTTGATTAATATGTGTGAGATTGTGACAGCGACTGATGGAAGGAGCCTTCTCTCTCTCTACCTCATCTACATTTTTCTTCCAATTTTCTTTATTTTGTTTGTTCAAAGCAGAAAATTCTTGGATGTAGCGTGGGATTGTCTTTCGCTTTTGTAGGAGATTTGCAGGGGAGTTGAAGGGAAGAAAGTAGTGATTGCACTAGGTCGAGGGACGCAGTAGCTCATTAATCCAATCTTCTTCATCTTCGTTTAGTTTGGAGGATGTGGGGTAGGTTCTATTGGGGGAGGAAGGAGGAAGGGGGAAAGAAAGCAGTAGGGTTCGTGGTGCTCTTTGCGTGGCTCTCCAGCCATGAGAAACATCTGAAGCCGTACGTGGATCTTTACTGGTCTCTCGGATGGGGTAGCCTCGTTTGCCATGTGGATTTCCTCACTCTGTAAGCTTCGATTGTTTTGCATATTTTGCTTTTATCATGTCCTCCGTCATACAATTTAGGGTATATTTTGAAAAATGTTTCTTTTTTGATGAGAAACCGAGAATGGAGATGGAGCAGAGAAGAAAGTAATACTTTTTAGTACCGGTCTATGTTAATGGAGTTAGGGAAATAACAATGAAAATAAATACACCTAATACCACCTTAGCAGGAAACATGGTAGTGCATGACATCAAAATTTAAGTAAAATTTTGAGGCGAGTTGTTATGGATAACAGGCATTGAAATAGAACAATTAGCGGGCGTAAGATGTAGATGCCAACAGTAGGAATCCGCCTCCTCCTATGTGTTCAAATTCTCCTCAGCTGATGAAAATTGTATATATTTTCCATCAGTACCATGGTATCAGGATTCAGGTTCCTAAAATTTTTTATTCTCCTCCATGTTTGCACCAAAAATTGAACTAGATTTCTAACTTTAGGGTACCTCGCAATTTGTGCTAAATATGGACTTAGATTTCCGACAACCTCCCTCAAGCTAGGTAAAAAAACATTTAGCTTTCCAAGGTCGGCTAAATTTTTTTCTTGAGAGAGCTTTAGTAAGAATGACTGCAATTTGTAGCTAGTTCAATGTTTAAATAAGAGAAATAATCCCATGATCAACCTGTTTTTATGAAGTGGCAATAAACTTCTACATGCTTAATTATGTTATGGCAAACATGATTTTTTGTAATATTTATTGTAGCTTGGCTGTCATATAATAATGTAATGTGCTCATTCATATAATAAGGTCGATAGTCCTCATTGAGGTGCTTTTGTAACCAAATTCCCTCACAAATCACATGAGCCATAGCTCTAAATTCTACTTCAACATTGTTTCTTGCCATAATAGTTTTTTTTTTTTACTTTTCCAGTCTACTATCATATGAATGGACAATTGCCTGGGGTAAAATTCATGATCTATCACCGACTTTGTCGAATTTGCATGAGTGAAAACTCAATATTTTGGTGTGTGATTTTTTTTAAATAACCCTTTTTTTGGGTAATTTTAAGGTATTTTAGGATTTTTATAACAATATTCATGTATTCTTCAATGGCGTGGTTCATGAATTGACTACCCATAGCCAAGCTTATAGAAAAGGAAATATTAGGCCTAATGTGACTGAGGCAAATTGATGCAATATGTTAGACATGCGAGACAAGCTACCGCGGCTAACTGCTAGATAAGCCCTCCACTACCTCCTATACTATTTTCGTTTAGCTGTTACACTCGTTTCTTTATTTATGCAAATTCAATTATAGTAGTAATCACCTAGTGGAAATTATGTTAGTACTTATAGCTAGTCACTGGGAAAATGTAAACAGTTTTTCCTCTTTATCAATATACAAAACCTGGAGCACATCAGCTCGGTATTTTCCCTATTCCATTGCTTGCGATTCTTTCTCTAGGACATCACAAATGGGTTTGTTGGTAAGTCTTCAATATTAGCCTTTGCCAAAGGAAGCACTTTCTTCTTTTATTTGTAGTTTGACATCAGACCCAAGAAAGAATCCACTGTTTTGCATTCAAGCGTTCAAGTTTCTTTTAAAAGATCAAGGACATCTTTGCACTGAGAGACACTGATACCTTTGTTGGATCTAACAACCTCTATTTTTAAGAAATATTTTTGTTTTCAAAATCTTTGATTTCAAAGTTTCTAGCCAGAAGTTGATTGATGGTTGTTAACTTATCATTAAAATCTCCTACAAGCATACTATCATTCACATATACCATGAAAATTGTTGATTTTTCATAGGAAGATTTTTTTATGAATAGAGTACGGTCAGCTTGACATTGAGCGCATCTATAATTTTTCATAATTTGGAGAATCTATCAAATCAGACTCAATGTTATTATTTTAAGTCATTGAGAATTTATTGAGTCTGCACTCTTTGTTCCCAAGGAATTGGGAGTGGAACACAAGATATTTACATTTCTATCTCATTTTCAAGATCAATATTAAGAAAGAAATTTTTGTTACAACAAGTTGATGCACTTGCTAATTAAGATTAATAACAAGTGATATAATTTGCCAACACATTAAGATTTTGTGGTACCTTGTAAATGTATTTATGATCATGTAAATGTACTTATGATCATGTAAATGTAATGAGTTGATCACAAAAAAATGCGAATATAAAAAAAATGATTGTACATCATCCTTATCATTCATTTATATAAAAAATACATTCATCATCAAGTTATGTAAAGTTTTTTATTTTAGAAATTGTTATGTTGTCTTCATCATCATAGAAGAAGTTGATTATCATTATGCTTATCACTTAAATTTGGAAATAATTCAAACTTTAATTTTATTATGTAAATATGGAAAAAAATGTCTTTTTTATGTGGAAATATGTGCTGTGGAGCAATCAAGGAAGAAATTAATTCATCTTAAGTCTTGAATTCAACTTAGCATGGAAAACAAAGGATGAAACCTATGTTCTAGGACGACTAACTTTCGTTTGATTTCACCCTGTTCTTGAATGGCATTTTGATGATCAAGTACTGCAAAAATTGAGAGTATGTCTGTGGAAAGAATTAAGGTTCGTATGTGGTATTGAACGTTTTATTTAGATCTTCGGGTTAAATATATGAAATTTCCTTTCCTAGGATTTACTTTCTTTATTTTGAAAAGTCTAATTTGAACATTTAATGATAGCTATTCATCCATCTGCACTTAGGATTGTTATATGGTAGAATGCGTTAGGCTGTGGAAAGACTCTTTGTACAATCGAGTGGTGTGAACTGTGAAAGTGGGCCTTAGCTGAAGCCTGAAGGTACAATAGGTTCCAGCATCTACTTTCCAGTTTCCACGGACTTTTTTTAAGTGCTGTCTTAAAGAAATATGAAAATTTCTAATGAAGTGTGCAATCACTCTCATTTTCATTTTTTTTTATAATCATGAACATACTAAAACTCCATTTAGTCCATAGGTTCGCTATTTTTGATAGGTTTATATTGAGCAAAATTATTTGCGTAAGATTTATGGCGGAAGAGCTGGCATTAACAATGCACTTGTTTTTAGTTTTTTCCTCCTCATTTATGTACTTCTCTACCAAGTTCTTAATTTCACTGTTGTTGTTTAAAAAAATTTCTTTGAAGACTTTCTCTTTATTATTTGTTGATGAATTATGAATCTGTCAAAAAAATTGTTTCTCTAGCTGGTATGTTTCAAGTAATCTTTCAAAAAGACCGTTATCTCAACAAAGATGACGTAGTTTGTAGAAAGCTGAAGGTCAAGGATCAGAAACTCAGAAATTCTTGACTAAATGTCTTAGAAACCCCAAGTTTTTAATGCTTTAATATCTACTTACATATGTTCCTCTCCATGTATTCATGACTTGATTGAAGTTGTTCGGCTGAATGGTGGTAATAATATGCAGGTTTTTTCCTGAGAGGGCCTCAAAGCTAGCTCGAGTTATTCTGGATGAACTGATTAAGGTTTGCAATATTTTGTTGTTAGGCAAAACAAAGTTTGTTGCTAAGGGCGTAACTTCTGTGCTCCTGTACTTTTATACCTTTTATTCATGTGGCATACCGCCATATCTCGTGTGACCTCTATCATGGGTTGAATGGAAAGGTTTTTTTAATTTCTTAGCTTTTTTGTGAGCCCTTATCCTTTTTATTAAAGCCAACGGAATATATAGTTCTGCAACTCATGCCTGTGAGAGCCCCTATCGCCTTTGATTCTGATAGTTCATGAAAAAGTGATGTGAGAAAGTAATCATGCTAATTATTTTTGTCAGCATATTAAAGTCCTCTTGGCTCTGTACGTTTCTAGAACTTCATTTGCAGTTAATCTATCAGTACCTACAGAGTCAAATTATATGAGCGAGATTTTTGAGAGATTATGATGATATTTTCTAGGCCTAGTATTAGTGGTTCTGATCTTTTTTACCGGAATGAATGTTAATGGTCTTTAGTCTACTTTCTGCAATGAGAACCACAGGAAGTAAAGGTTAGACCATTGCCTATTGTACTCGTCGCTTTTTCTGGTGGATCAAAAGGTGGTTTATACAAGGTTCTTCAGGTATGGTGTTTACTTATGGGCCTATGATATCGGTTGCGTTAAACTTATTCCGAAAGATCAGTTCCTTTTTATTTTCACTAAATTCTTTCCATTGTTTTCAGTTGGTCGAGGGAAAATGCCAAGGACAAAACAATTTGCAGGTATTCCACTTCTTGAAGTTATGGTTTCTTCACGGTTGTTTTTTTGTCAAAGTTATTTAATAGATGATTACGCTATCAATATCATATACACTTGTCTGTTTCATGATTTATTTTTTTTAACTTTTGACTGCCCACTTGATCAAATTACTATTTTCGCCAAAATTTAACCTTTTATTTTTTAAAGGTCATTTTTTTGTTGTATATGATTCATGCATAAAAGTTAGATATTTTTCCTGACAACTACTATCAAAATCTAATGAGGAATTTGATGCCCATGAAAATTGAGATCTAGAAATTTGATAGCTAAAAAAATTTTGTGCTTTTAAAAACAAATATGCCGTATGCTTTAGTTCAGTAGGCCTCATGGAGGTTTGTAAATATATTTATGTGAATTTTTAATAAAAATTGTGATTTTGTTGTACTTTTGAGTACATGTTCTTTAGAATTTTTAATGCCTTCAATATATTGCATTTACTCTATGGAGATGCCTTGCATTTTTCTTTCAACCAACCAAAAAACCTCTAAGAAAACAACAAGAATGAATAATCATTCTCAAAATAGGCATTGGCCTTATTAAATAGTGCCTTTATCACCGATGTTAAGATTAGTAGTTTGAAAAAGGAAAAGCTCATACTAGTTTCAACAGTCTGCTTCTTCTTCTCCGCAAAATCAAATATTAAAAAAACTTGGGGATTCTCAAAGATCTCACTGCAAATAGAATATTTTACCTTTGATTTCCTATAGATTTTGCCTGTTTTTTTTTTTTTTTCAAAATGTTTTCACCATTTCGAGCAATCATTCCATCAAACCAGGATTCATCTATTGTTAAGGAAAATCATTTGCCATTTAGAATGTATGAAATCTATGTTAGTTTTGTGAAGAATCTGATTGTATTGATCAATCGAGTTGTACTGTTATCTTGGATCTCAATTTAATCTGTTGTGCTCGTTGAGGGGTTGCAAGGGGTCCTCCCCCTACTTGTGTTCGCGTTTGGGTGCTTTCCAACAAACTTCATAAATGCATGTATGAATAGGTTTAGGGTGCTAAAAATAAATAAAAGCAATCTAGTAAAATTGAAGTTGCTACATGGTTCTAAGGTTGAGAAGCGTGCACACATATGGGCTCTCTAAAGGCCATCTAAGTTATAAGAAAACTTACAATACCGGGGGCTACGACCCGGTGGTTCCGCCCGTAGCACCCCCACGGAATGAATGGGGGCAACTGATGCTCGGATCCGTTTCTCCATATTCCTTCGTGTAGTGCTCCAAAACTCTTTTCTTACTTGCTCTCCAAAGTCCCCTTGCAAAGAATCACATAAAAAGCAAAGGAAGGTTGTGTTATAGCAATGTAATATTTAATATGCAAATAATTTAAATAAAATGCAATTAAATAAAAACATACCTTTTTCGAGCTTGTATACTGGTGGAGCCATTTGTCTTTTGAAACTTTTCTTTTTTGTAAGCACTTCACCATATTTCGCTTCAAAAACACAAATAGTAATAGTAGTAGAAAGAGAAAGAGGGGTAGAGAGAGGATGATAATTACTATTTGCTTGTCATAATTCCCTTTCCAACCACATCTCCCAACAACTAATAAGAAGTATTCCACATACCTACTCATTTTCAATCATGCGAAGAAATAATCCAACACATTCTTCTTTCCAAAACCAACACACAACACTAGAGAATGCAAATCACCTTCTCCAAAATATGCAATCACAAGAAAAGAAGCTTGATGCCAATTCATTCTCCAAAATTTTAGAAACATTTCAATATAATCACCGACATGATTTTTACATAAAGCTCCAACAAGTGCAAAAAGAAAGAAGCAAATCCCAAGAAAAGTATGTAAGCATCTCATTGTTAGCATGTACTTTTCAAAGCCAAACACGCCAAACGCGAATAAGAGGGAAGAAATTTTGACGCTATTTATGTTTTCCTCGGAGCCTTCCAACATCAAGCTCCCCAAGTGCAAAGCCATTCATAAAATCCTCAGTCTCCAAAATAACTCATAGAATCTTCAAGCAAAGCAACTCATAAAATCTCCTCATATAAAATCCATTACAGCTCCTTTTGACGCAAAATAAATCTTTTCGACTTGGGATATATCCATGAAAATCTTCTAACAAGAAGGTTTCGTAAGGTTTTCCGTTATAAAACATTCAAAAAACATATCTAGAATTTCTCAGCAGAAAGCTTCTCCAACAAATACAACTCATAAAATCCTTAAACATAAAACAAGCCATAGAATTTTTTGACATAAGGTAAATTATAAAGCTTTTCAACATAAAATATCTCATAAAACTTTCTAACCGTAAAGTAATTCATAAATCTTTCCAAAGAATTATATCATCCATGCTACATGCTATGATAAAATCTAAGAAAACTTGCAAATGTGTAATCCAGAGAATAAGAAAATCTACAACAATTCATGCATTAGGCTATCTTTCCAATGTGATAAGGTTCATATTCTCACAACAATGATTCTTGCCAAGGACCAATGCCAATGTTATGCTTACACCGGTAACGAAAAAGATGTGAATCTCACAATCATTTAATATCCTCTCTAAACTCCATCAACGAACCCACTTGTTTATATCAATACATGTAAAATTCTCCCAATCAATCATAACTCAAAGAGACCGAACATGCTCTTGATGCGTTACCATAAAAGAAACATCAATCTATTTCTTGTTTTCAAGCACAATTTATGTATTCAAAGCATGATTGCTTTAATAGTCCCAACAAGCTCAAAAATCCTTTCCAAAGGCCCAAAGAAAAGTATTCGACAAAAGGACATGCGACCTTGTGTCAAACCAGATTAGACTTTCAAGTGAATCTTAAAGCAACTTATAAATTTTTCTGACATAAAACAACTTATAACACTTTTCATATAAAGCAAATTCATGAAACCTTCTTATCTCGAAGTACTTTCCAACATGAAACCGTTCTTGAAATTTCTCCCACATAAAACAATTTCCAACGATGAAAAATACTTTTGAAACTTTTCCAACATAAAACAATCTCCAACAATGAAAATACTTTTGAAACTTTTCCAGCATAAGACATATTTTCTTTAGAACCATAGGCCAACTCCTAAAGCTTTTCCAACACTTCTCCAAAAAAAACAAACCTTATGAGAAAACTTATAAATGCTTACAAGTGAAAAAGGAAATATATGATTGCTCTCCCACATTCATCTCCAAGATATTTTGGAACATAAAGCAAATGAAAACTTGTACTAGTTCATTTCCAAAACGGCCCGGAGCATAAAACAAGTTAAAATCTGCATCAAGTTTGTTTCTAAAAATAGTTTGGAACCCAAATCAAATCAAAATATGCACTTATTTTTTTCCAAAAACGGTTTGGAACCAAAATCCAATCAAAATATGCACTTATTTGTTTCCAAAAATAGTTTGAAACCTAAATGCAATCAAAATATGCACTTAGACTCATTATAAAAGGAAATCAAGAGCTTAAACATTCAAGGATAAACATAAGCTTTGACTCCATAGACTTACTACAAGTGTTTAGAAACTCTATATTGTCATTAAGTTACCATTCCATCACCATAGGAAACAATATTTTTATCGAGACAATCATGCGTTATAATAGTTTAAACCTATTATCAACCCAAGTTTAAGAGAAGATCTCAACAAAACTTATTACAAACATCAATGGAAAAATAGCATTAGACACTTCACTAAGGAAATTTTGGAGGGAACTTAGCAACATAGTTATGTCCAAACTCACAAGAAACAATGTAAAATCCTTACATCTAAATATACTCACCAAACATTTGGTTAAGTGACTTAATATGCAAGCATAAGTTTCATGAGTCACCAACCAAATATCACAACTTCTCCTCAACAACATTTCACCAAACACTTGGTGTGCATGTTTGCAAGTTCACATAAAACAAGCTAGCATGAAAAAGCATGACTTATACACCTACTTGATTGAACTCATCCAATTAATTCTACACAAAATTCCTCATGATTCACACAATAACCATCTCAAAATATTTTATGATCTTGTTACCAATAACAATAGCAAGGGCTTTTGTCACCTATAACAATAACAAAGGCATGCTAAATACCACGTTTCCACGATCATAATTAACTTCTATGTTTTTCATAAACGGTTTACAAGAAAACATTGCGTTATTCAAGGGACATATAGAACATTGCATTAGCAACAAAAGATGAAGCTAGTCCACTACATCTTACCTCAAAACGTTTCAACCTTTGGACTGTACATGAAACCCATTCATTGAGACAATCAATTTCACTTACAAGACGATTACCACAAGTTATCACAAGGTCCAACATGAGGGATGAGTGTATTCATTAAGAAACAAAATAACTAGATGTATGAGGACATATGTATAATAATGAAATTAATTTTATATCTACATGACTTGCCATTGGCATCTACATCTACGAGACTTTAAATTAAGTTGAGAAGGATGAGCAAGAGAAGCTAGGGTAGTAGGAGGAAAAGGAGAGGAATAAGAAATGGCGAAAAGAAGAAGGAGAATAGGAAGAAGAAGAAGAAGAAAAAGAGGACAAAGAAGAAGAAGAAGAAAGGGAGGAAGAAGAAGAGGGGAAGAGGCATACCTGCGGTTAGTGAGATCGGCGTCAACTAGGGTAGGTTGCGAGAACGGCGAGCAAGATAGCTCGGATGGGTCGGCTGGAGGTGAGGGTCCGTCAGGGGTTCGATTCCGCATAGGAGAGCGGGAGGTAGAGGAGGCTCTGACCTCTGGCTTCTGCGAACGATAGAGACGGAAGGAGTGTGAGCGAGGGATCTACGGCTTCGGCGTCAGCTCCCCTAGGCGGCTTCATTTGGGGCGAACGAAGGGAGTAGGGAGTCGGAAGAGGACTCCGCTCTCTGCTGGGGGCTTGCGAAAACCAGAAGTCAAGAGAGAGAACGAGAGTGTGCGAATGGGGGAAATCGAAACAGGGGCGGGAGCTTTTCTTCCCTCGAGTCCAGAGAGCTCCA